GCTGCAAAAAGGGAAATGTCGGCCACTGTCGGCCACTGTCGGCCACTGTCGGCCACTGTCAGCCACCGTCGGCCACCTTCAGCCACCGTCGGCCACCTTTACTGTGCCCGTGTGCACGTGTCAGAGGGTGGCCACCCATGGGTGGCCGGCCACCCATAGGTGGCTCGGCAACCGAGCCACCATGGGGTGGCTCGGCCACCCCATGGGGTGGCTCGGCCACCCCATGGGGTGGCTCGGCCACCCCATGGGGTGGCTCGGCCACCCCATGGGGTGGCTCGGCCACCCCATGGGGTGGCTCGGCCACCGAGCCTCCTTGGTGGCTCGGTGAGCCGACCTCCAGGTGTTTGTCGTTTTGCCTCTTTGTGCCCGTTTTCTGGTTTTGTAGTTGATAGGTTCGGATTCGATTTGCTGATCTGATTTGGCAGTAAATCCGGATCCCGATTAGGCAGTACATCCGCTTCTGAGTTGGAGTCCGAAACCGATCTTGATTCGATCGTCATTCGTCTGAGTATGCCTTTGGTTGGATAACTCGTTGACTCTTCGAACACTTGGCTTGATCCCGCACGCGAATGGACGTATTCCGTTGTTTGCGTGCAATTAGTCAATCTCGTCGCCTCGTTGGTTTGTCGGTTCGTGCCGAGCTGAGCAAAAGGGACCTATAAGCAATTTTATATGCCTACAACTACTACATAGAGTAGTTGACTAGTAAGGTCGTTAGTCGACCAATGAAGGCATTTTAGTCGACTAATTAGGCTGTTTCCAGAATTCTATCAGGTTTCGGGTTAGTTTTATTTTATTATTCGAACCCAGTTGTTTACACCCCTATATATACCTATTGTTCATGAATTTTCACATATTGTATCAGTACTTTCAAACCCTGGTAACCACCACCTCCTCCTCATAAACCCTAGATCCAATCTAAGTGATTCTAAGAGCTTTGTGAAGCAAAATTCGACATGAAGGCGAGATTGTTTGGCTTGTGGCTAAGGGATCTATTTTGGATTTGCACTTTTAGGCTTTCAACAAGATTTTCAGGTGAGTTTCATCTCTTCTAACCCTACACCTAATTTTTAAATTGTTTTAATAAGATTTAATTTGGTGTTATTGAGCCAAAACCCTATTTTCATGCATAAAAATTATTCTTTTGTAATATATGAAATAAAGATCTGATCTTTTCATATTTAAAAGATTATGAGCGAATATCCAGAGGTAGATTAAGATCTGAAAATAATTAAACAAGGGTTTTAACTGAGTTTTACGGTTTACATGATGTTTGGATGCTTTTGTACATGTTTAGGGTTTACATATGAATTTTAATGTAACAAATTATTGTTACATGTGTTAGATGAACATCAGTAGTGTTAAACAAGTTTTTAAATCATTTTATCCATGTTTTACAGTAAGCTAATTGAGTTAGGATCAAAAAACACATACACGATCACAACCTGCAGTAAGCATGCTTATGGCCTCTGGCCGATCGACCGGAGGTACATGGTCGATCGATCGACTAGTATTTTTTTGTGCATGGTGCATGTTTTGTGTAGTTGTTGTTTGATCAAGGGATTTTTCTTGATCAACCAACATTGTATTATGATGTTTGTTATCTATTTAATACCTGAGGTGTTTGTGAGTATGTGATATAGATCCTCACATCAAGACACATGTACTGACACTTGGATACATGTTCTTAATTGAGTATACATGAATAATTGACATGCACGACGCATGTTTAAGTTGATAGTGTAGGAATAACACATGACAATTTATAATTCATCAGTTGTGGATGCTTAGTGATGAGTAGTTTTCCCGCAATGAGACCGCGGCTATACCTTACATAGAGTTGGTAGTTTTTCCCGCAATGAGACAATGGCTGTACCATACTCGAAGATGATTGAGGTTTTCAGATTGGGTTGATACGCATACACTCCATTGTATGATTATCTAGATGCATCATCCGGAATAGGGTGATTTACCTAACATCTTGAACATAATTTTCACTTGATATCTTTTCATATTTGATCCTTGTTTCTTCGGCTTCTGTAGATTGCTTGGCTTGATCCCGAGCTTCAATAAAATGTTTAAAAAAAAGAAAATTTGAGTTCTTTTTATGCTTTTATTTATTAATTCTTTATTAACCGGTAAATTAAGATAAAATATGTTTATTAGTGACATTTTTATTTAAACAAAATAGATAATGATGATAAAAAATATAATAAAAATGTGATTATCAATAGAATTAACATCGTTGGTAGTAGACTAATTGTGTTAAAGTGTGTACACACTGAGAGGAGTAGTAGTCAAAGGGGATTGAGGCCCCTTGCCTCGATCTCTTATGATTAATATGGTGTTAGTTATTAGCATTATGCTTCCAATGCGAGGAGAGTATCTTCTTATTTGATCCCCAGATATGACACTAGTCATATTTGACTCTAAACTCTTGGAGATTATTTTTTAGTATCTTCTTATTCATCCCCAGATATGACACTAGTCATATTTGACTCTAAACTCTTGGAGATTATTTTTACCTTTCGGGCATGTCATCGTCTTTTAACCCCAACCTATGAAGTCTCAGGGTTTTGACTAAGACATTTGAAAACTGATTTCTTTTTAGAAATATATTTGTATTGGTAATTTTTTGAACCGTCGTGACAACTTCTCTCAGAATCACACAATGTTAATATTAGCATGACTAGAGATAGGAACTCTATTAAATCAATAGGAGTTCCAAGTTAATTTAAGTAAACTTCGCCACATTGGTCCTTAGCGTGCGAACTTCATCTATGATGACGTTGGTCTGACCTTCACATAGCGTGGTCAGATGAATCACCATTGGTAATATTATTCTCTTATAGGAATTTGAATAAGGGGTTACCCCCATTCTTTGCTTTTGTCGGGGAAACATAACGAGCATGGCGAGATACTTTGAAACGAACCCCCAAAGGAGCCGTGGACTGATATCCAACGTCAGAAGAAATGAAAATGTCTTGACTTTCGCTTGTAAAGAGGATCAATATTTCTTTGCTCTGGGCAAAGTTCATTTGGCCTCCTGGGAAGCTCAAACTGTCTTGGCGATATTCACCTTAACACACACGGGGTTGAAGCTGACCCTATTTTCGCATTGTGGTGAATCTTGCAACAGTTCCTAGTGGTAGCCATTGACAATTTGTTAGAGGAAATGAATTCCTCAAACTTCGCTTAATCAAACTCAATGACCATCGATTTAGTAAATGAGCCGACAGTTTTAATATTGGACTGTGACATAATTTTCTTATTAGAGGAGAAAGAAGTCCCCAGTAGAGTTCTCATCCTATTTGAAGTCTTTTGAATTACAATTGACTCAGATTATTATTCTGAGATCACAACTGAAATAAGAAAATTTTATTTAAACTAGGTTCTTTTCCATGCGACAATGGAGTGTTGCTCTTGTACTCCGTTGATCGTCCGACTAAGACAATGGATATTTTGTTGTTGGTCCGTGATTTGGTCGCTTGTAAGATGACTCAGACTTCTCTTAGAACTGAATATCAGAGGGAGAAAGAGAGATGAAATGCTAATTCTGCATGTATGTATGTATGGGGTGTTCGATTCCTTTTAATGAATAATTTTCTTCTCCTCTTATAGGCTGAGAAGAGGAGGGGAGAGAGAGAGAGAGAGAGAGAGAGAGAGAGAGAGAGAGAGAGAGAGAGAGAGAGAGAGAGAG